CACACAAACACACAATGCCTCAGTGATTAACAGAACTGTTTCACAGATCACAGAACTATATCAGGGTGTCATTTCTCAGGCAGAAATGTAGATAAAAATAATGAAATCCTGTTCCCCAAACAAGTGCAAGAACCACAGTCAAGAATAGGTTAAATATACAAATAAAATAAAATCAATTAAAAACAATAGCACATCAACATAAAAACATATAAACATAAATCTGAAAGCGTTGCTCAAACTCCCGTAACAGTCCCGTTATTTTATCTTTGATACCGCTTCATGTCTGCCACATGTTGGGTCGCGCACACATTTTTAAGACAGGGGAAGTGAGCTGCATCACCACCGGCAAGTTGCGTCTCCCACAATGACAGCTTCAACTTGAAAGAACGTATGCTTATTCTATCATCAATAAAACTGTGGTCTGTTCAATGTTGAGAGTTCTTCAACGGGATTCTGAACTAACTGAATTTCTCTGGTAGTAGGATTCATGTGGTGAAAACAGGGCATCTGTCACCCACCGACAACCACAGGCCTAAGGCCATCTGACACACACACTTCCATCACCTGAGCGCCCTTGCAGCTGTTTGTTCAAGTTATTCAGGTGCTCTGTAACATCCACCATAAATGCAAGGTCCTGCATCCATTCTGCGGAATGAAATTCTAACACTGGTTTGCCCTTTTCTTCCATGAACTGTTCAATTTCTTCTCGTAAATCAAAGAAACGCCTCAGCACAGCACCTCGGCTTAACCATCTTACCTCAGTGTGGTATGGCAGGCCATAGATGTGGTCTTTCTCTCTGAGAAGGCTGTCAAACTGACGGTGATTCAGGCTTCTGGATCGGATGAAATTAACAGTTTGGATGACCACCTTCATGACGTTATCCATCTTTAATGACTTGCAACACAAAGCCACCTGGTGCAAAATACAGTGAAAAGTCAAAAAATCATGTCCTCCATTTGCTTTTTTCCCGATCATTGAGGGCGCACCATCTGTAGCCAGGCTGACAGCGCGGGACCAGTCCACTCCGACCCTGTCCAGCGCGCCGACGAGTGTGGTAAAAATATCAGCTGCTGTCGTTGTATCTGTCATCGGCACCAACTCCACGAACTCCTCGGTGACGGTCAATGTGTCATCAACTCCGCGGATGAAAATGGCCAGTTGTGCAACATCTGTAATGTCCGTGCTTTCATCAATTGCAACCGAAAACGCAATAAATGACTTTACTTTTTGCTTCAACTGGCTGTCCAAATCCACTGAAAGATCGGAAATCCTGTCTGCAACTGTGTTTCTTGTCAGGCTGATATTTGCAAAAGCCTGCCGCTTTTCAGGGCACACAATCTCCGCTGCCTTCATCATGCATGTTTTTACAAATTCACCCTCACTAAATGGTTTTGAAGCCACTGCGATTTCATTAGCAATGAGGTAGCTAGCTTTCACTGCAGCGTCACTGATGTCTCGGCTGTGAGTAAATTATTATATTATTATATGCCATTTAGCAGACGCTTTTATCCAAAGCGACTTACAGTCATGCGTGCATAAATTTTTGTGTTTGGGTGGTCCCGGGGATCGAACCCACTACCTTGGCGTTACAAGCGCCGTGCTCTACCAGCTGAGCTACAGTAAACACATACTGCTGTTTCTTCAGACCCGCCAACAGTTCATTCACCTTCTCTCATCTCCGCTGTCCTTGAAAGTTGTCATATTTGTCGGCATGAAGACTCACATAGTGGCGACAAAGGTTATATTCTTTCAGCACTGCAACATGCTCTGAACACACCAAACATACAGCTTTCCCATTCAATTCCGTGATTAAATAGGATGACCATTTTTCTTGGAACACTCTGCACTCTGCGTCCACTTTTCTCTTTTTTGACAGAGACATATTGGGGCAATGAGGGTGCCAAAGCACATAATGTTAAAAGTAGAAGCCGTAATAAATATCGCGGGCAAAACAAAGTAGCTCATTGGCTGCACGTGCTTGACCTACTTGCTCTGCCCCGGTATAAACAGTTTGCTTGCTTAACACAATTGCTATTGCGCCATCCAGTGGACGCAATTGGAACAGCAGTTTATTTTATTGAAAAATTGCAGCGCATTTTTATACTTAAAAAAAAAAATATATATATATATATATATATATATATATATATATATATATATATATATATATATATATATATATAAAAAATTCCGAAATCATCTCGCGGGCCGGATTAAACCCGTTTGCGGGCCTGATCCGGCCCGCGGGCCGTACGTTTGACACCCCTGCTGTAGTGCATCGACGCAGCTCTGTAGTGAACAGCGCACATTTTCTCTCAAAACAGTGCAGAGGTGGAAGATGGCTAGGTAAATGCTGTTTGACTTGACATGAAACTAATCTAGAGTTTTTGATCCCAGTGTTGAGCTAGTGCATAGCAGCTAATTGCTGTATGACATGTGTTTGTAGAATGTTAAATCCACTATCGACTGAGGTGAATGAAGTTACAGCAGCCAAGGTAATAATGTCTGGAGTCAATTTGGGTTGTTTTGCTGTTCTTTAAATTGCTTTTATTGTGTAGAAATGCAGTAAATGAGCTTCAGCCATCACAGACGTCATTCATGGGGGGGTGAGAGCCAACATAAGTCACATAGCATATATCAACTCAATGATGTCTGAGACAGCTCAACCCACATAGCCAACTTTGATTGGGCCGCCAGGAGAAAGACCCTATATATCAGTGAGGCTCCATCACCAGGATCAGATATGATGATGATCAGACAGCTCTCCTCTTCAGCAGTTGATTGTGTTTCCTCAAAATGACTCAGAAGGTCACAGGCTCATATGATGTCACACATGTAGTAGGCCTTGGAGCTGTCCCAGTGGAAGCCTGACAAGTGAATCTGTCAGTGATAAATGTGAACCAATGTGTTTTTTGCGGTCAGCAAGCAGGCGTCTGTGGCCGAGATGGACTGTGTAGACTTGATAAATCGTTGCCTTCACTGGAACAACAAATGTTTGGAGAGACAGAACCCATCCCCCCCATCTCTCCCCACCTTGCCTCCCAACTCCCCAGGCCAGAGAGACTGTCTACCTCCCAAATGGCACCCTATTCCCTACGTAGTGAGCTACTTGGGCTCTGGTCAAAAGTAGTGCACTATATAGTGAATAGGGTGCCATTTGGGACACATCGTATGACAATGCTGTGTGCGGGTTGCCTCCTTATTTAGCGGTGTTGCTGCTGCTGCTGAGAGCCCAGAGCGTTGAACCGTTGCTTAGCTGATCTGTTTGGGTTTCATGGCATGACCGTCTCTTGGCAGACAAAAGGCTGCGTTTAGGCTATCTCTGGCAGGGCCCCTCCATCAGTCACAACACCGCATCCAGTGGAAGACAGAGAATATAACTAAATGTTTGATTTAGGGATCAAGTTTACTTTGGGCTGTGAATTAGATTTGGGATAGACCATTGCCAAGTGTACTAAAAATACACAGATGCAGTACAGGTGTGTTCCTATGAGATAGGGAGTTTATAATTATATAAACAGTTGTGTACTTTGTGTAACTGATAAATGTAAGCACAGCTATTTTTGGAGTAGAAATACTTCTGATGAATCAACTAAAGTGCTCAACTGATGCTCTGTTGAATGTAATGTAGTACTTAACATACTTTTTTTAAATTAAATTTGAGACTTTTGGGATAACAGAACCTGAATAACAACCCACCAACTTACAACCTCATTTTCCCATAAAATCCTTCCTGAATGGATGGAGTAGATATCACTACCTTCTTTGGAGATGCATGAACCAGGTCAACAAACATCAACTTTAATTGATTTGGACTGATCCAATTGATTGGAATCCAGCTTCATCAACGTCTTCTCGTTGTGATCCGCATCAAGTCAAACAGGGCAAATGTTACATTAGGATTGCAAAGAATGACGTAAGGTTTAGCTTCACATTTAATTTGCTCACTTTTTACTTTCCACACAGCTTTTTAGAGAATGAAGAGGGAGGCTGGTATAAGTGATGAAAGATGGGATGAGAGGATTGGCTGAAGAGCCAAAGGGTATATTCTGATGAAGGCATTTTGTTCCCAAAATTATTGTAGCACGAATGGGTGAGGTAAAATGTTCTGCTCAGGGCTTCTTTTACAAGGAAATACTCTGCATGGTAATCTGCAAAGAAACAATGGGTGCATTTATTAATATGTCACCCTATTAACATTGTTAATCCACAAATGTTCCAAATAACTGTTTTATTACAACCAAGACACAATCTGCCAACACGTCTACAGTCTGTCACTTTTCATTAGGACTTCAGTTGGCTGACTTTAAATTCCACTATTGAAAACACTAATTTTGTTTTGATAGATTCTCAAATAAAACAGCGCTCTATTGTTCTATGGTATGACAAAAATGGAGAATGACTGTCAGGGACAAAACAGGAAGAAAACAGAATGGTGACAATTAATTGAGTACACATGTATTCTCATCAATTTCTATTTAAGGTTCTTCTATCAATCGTATTACTTCCAGATGTGTCAGTGTCTGTTTCTCAAGAATTTAAACAAAATGATACATTTGGAACATCTCTGAAGTGCCTCAATTGCTGGAAAGTCCAGAGATGGTCCCAATGTACTGTTTATTTCACCACCACTATGATTATAATAAGACATGTTTGCCCTCCAATCATGTTATGTGTCAGTCTGAAGTCAGGAGATTCAATCAATCTGAATAGCCTGAATATAAATATTTGAAATGGAGAGGCAATGTGTGGGCTATGCACAAATGATCCTACATTAGAATATTTTGAGTAAATTGTGCTCTGTCCCAGGCAACTTTGAGAATCAGCATAATAACTTTAATCAATTGGTATCTAAACTTTCCACTCCTTCTTTAGTGTTTTTCCCCTTCTATTCCCCTCTCTTTTATGTATTCCAATTCTCTTGTACAAGTGTTTGATTCGTTGGCTGGCTGTGCATGTTAATGAGATGGGACAGAGATGGTTTTTAAAAGGTGCTGCTCGACAACATGTTGGGATAGATGGCAAGCAGCGTGATCCGAATGAAGTTTCTGATCTGAGCTCTCCGGACCTACGGAGTTCGTGAAAACTCGAGAGTATTCGGAAGAATAGAAATCAAACATTGTTTCTCCTGTCATCGCCTAAAGTTAAAGGGAGAATACCAATATACTGTCGATTGAGTGAGGTTTAGTTGGGGTAACCAGCCGGGAGCTCCGAATTTGAGGTTCCTTATCAGCAGACGAGATGCATCGTTGTACAACAGCAGCGTTGCTTTTGTTAGTTATTGCCTTATATTCCCTCCACACAGAAGGTAAATATATATTTATATTTGAGCAATGTAAAATGTATGAGAAGGAGCCAGACCCTATTGAAACGTATCGGAAAAAATATGTTTTCAGCCGTTAGACATATTAAGCTGATGGTAATGAGTCAAAAAAAATTAAAATGTTGTGCCGCCGAATTTCACCTGTAATGTTTTACCATCTCCAAATCTGCTCCCTTTTGGCAACAGTATAGGCTATTGTTGTTCATAACAGTTATATTACTGTGTTTGTGTTGTACAATTGTGGCTTTGTTCGTTTATTGCGTTAACCAATCACCCACAGTCGGTAGTCAGACTACTTTGTATAAATGTTATCCTTTAAAGGTTTTACATTTTACCATGATGGTTGTTAGCCTTTTATGCTAACCGGCGTTGGTCTTTAGCTGGTTTGGTTGATGAGAATTGTAATGCCCGGGGTTGAGGAATTGGAGATGACTGTTGATGAGGGAGCCTTGAAGATGTAGGTCACACGTTTCACAGTAAACATGAGCCTGCTTCAGCTGTTCACCTGACCACCTGCATGAGTGTTAAACAGTCCCAGTGGCGTTGTGAATCCACAAGCCTTGCTTTACAGTGGAGACAATAATTAAGTTTAATGTTTTACAATACAGTTACTGAGTCCTATTCAATCGTTCTCGTTCTCTTAGTTTTATTTCATACAGATTAAGTGAGAACTACACCTGACAATCTGTGTTAAATCGAAAACCATAACTGATGTTCAGTTATTCTCATCAGAAAATATAGTTCTACTGATGGATAAAAACGTTCAGACCAAGGTGTTAATTTGAACTCAATTTTATTGTAACACATCTGTTTTATTTCTTTTACAGCCTACAAGTGCAGGTGCACAAGAAAAGGGCCAAAGATTCGCTACAAGGATGTGCAAAAGCTGGAGATCAAACCCAAACATCCTTTCTGCCAAGAGAAGATGATATTGTGAGTCATTCTTTGAATAATTTCTGGCCTGCTCTCTCTCTCTCTCCCTGCAATGCTTTTGTCTGCTTGTCTCAGAGATGTCAGTCACTCCATGTGTGCTATTCTGTTCGTTTACCAAATGCACTGTAACTTTTATCAATATTCACTCTTTTTCTAATCTCATTCTCATACTATATCAAAGCAGCTGATTGACCTGTTAATATATTGATATGGAATCTGATCATGGATATTTTGAGAACCTATTAGCTTAAAGGTGCCACACATAGTATTTTTTTGAATTTTTGCTTGATGTCAGAAAATGTCCATAATACTGTATATCTGGTGCGAATAGTGAAATGATAGTGTTTCACAGTATTACTTACCCGCCTGTGTTGGGATTGGATGTGATATTCGCCTATTGATTTCTCCCGCCGAAGCGGCATCTGTTGTCAATCTGGGAAAGCTATTCTGACTTTGTGGCTGTTATCTAGTGAAAATCGCTCTGTCATTTGCTGGTTGCAAAGGTTCTACACTGTTTGCTCCAGTTTATGTGAGAAAACAAGCACCGAATAGTGTAGGGAATCATTGCACCATCTAAATCGCTGTGAAACATTCTTTCTATAACAATAAAATAATTTCTTTTTTACAGCTGTTTGAAGCTGGTGCACCGGTTTTGGTCCACCTGCTTCAAACAGCTGTAAAAACGCTAAGTTTTGTTTAAAAAAATATTTTGGACTGCGATTTAGATGGTACAATGATTCCCTACACTATTCAGTGCTTGTTTTCCTATTCAGCGCTTGTTTTCTCACATAAACTGAAATTGAGCGGACAGTGTAGAATTTTAGCAACCAGCAAATGAGTGATTTACACTAGATAACACAACCACAAAGTTTGACAACAGATGCTGCTCCAGTGGGAGAAAGACTTTCCCTCTTCAGATATGAGCGACTGTCTAACTCTTTTTGAGGGTTCTAAATGGACTTGAATTGCCCTATACTATTGCTTTTCCTTTCCCAAATAGATGCTGAGCTCACATTTTAGTCATTTTCAGTGGAAGTGGTGCTTACTTTTGTAAAAGATCACATACTCTTTCACCATCTACTGTTCACTTGAGGTATTGAACAGAAATTTGTTCCCATGAACGGAAAAAACAAAACCATGAAGTCAAATGTTGTTCTGTCCCGCTGTCATGGATTACAGTACATTGCTCTCCATATTATCAAAAGGCTGTAGGGTTCGTCCAACAAAGAGTTTTGTTGGCCCCTTGGACCATTAAACTGATATTTATTGCTGGGTCTTATGTCCTGGGGCCGATGCGATAAAGTTTAGTTGAACACCAAACAGTTAAAGCTGGTCTATTTGCATAAAATGGTGGCCGCTGGCCACTGACCTAAGTGAGAAATGAGACTCAGCGGGCTCCGGAAAGAGTGCCCCTTCTCTCCTTTGTTGGCTGGCATGGCTCACGTCTCAGAATTTAACATTCTGCAGGGCCACCTCCACTGTCACAGCAGTGCCTCCAACTCCGACCAAGAGTTAGAAATTAACCAAATTAACCAAGGCCTCTGTTGGCTGGGCAGGTGAATAATTAATTAAGAAGCAGACAAACTATAAGAGATTGATTTGAGAAGCCCCTGCAGAGCTCTGGGCACAACACACAGCACATGTCACCGCTGGCTCAAAAATGCCATACAGACAGACAGTCTCTCCAACTGCTGCTCTGAATGTCAATGGGTTCATCTAGCCAGGCTCAGAGATCATGTATACCCAGTGCTGTTTTTAAAGCCTGTTCATGCAGTAATGTTGATTAGCTGTTTACTCTTACACTCTCTCTCTCTCTCTCTCTCTCTCTTCTTTTGTTTGTCAGTGTCACCATGGAGAACGTGTCGCGCTTCAAAGGTCAGGAGTACTGTCTGCACCCCAAACTGCAGAGCACCAAAAACCTGGTCAAGTGGTTCCGGATCTGGAAGGATAAGCATAGGTGAGAGGTCATCCCACTCCATGAGTTGAACGGCCCCCACCAGAGGGCAATACTGCCCGTATTTCGACTTAATTTCTATCCTATAGAGGAAATTCTTGTTTAGGTTCCACCTCCGAAGAATGACGCAGGCTGCTAATACATATTCACGAATTGGGGGTGGGAACGTTGTGGTGATTTCCACATGGAGTGGAGACATAACAATAAGTAACTGACAGCTGTCAGTGTAGCTAGCTAACATGCTAACCTTATCCACCTAGCTAATGATATCTGTTGTTGCTACAGCATATTCAAAATATTAGCCAGCTGGCTAGGCTATGGCTGGTTCTGGAGCTGGATTTACTCCGGTTATATGGATAGCCTAACTATTGAACAGTTTGGACTAGAGGCCAGGGTGACAGCTAAGGCATTTTCACCGAAAATGTACAACTACAGCATTAATGTCTAGCTACTTAAAATAAAAATAATACTCTGCTAAAAATGTACATATTCAGAACACTCTCCCAAATTCCAACTTTGGCAGACAAGTTTCAAATTTTGAGCCACAAGCATAAACTAGCTAGTTGGGGAAAGGCTCATCAGGACGACTGACTGAACAGACTGAACCGAATCCGTTGGTCTACACTCGGCTCTCGCTACGCGACATGCCGAGTGGGCACCAGGCGTGTCCGTGTAGCTTCTCCCGCTATGGAAAGTATGGTTATAGGAATCTATATAGCTAAGTAATCATGTACTGTATATTTGGCTGTATTTAACAACTTTTTCCCTTCTCTCTTCGCAGGGTGTATGAAGCTTAAACCATGGATTATGTGCACAAAGGGAACAAGTGGAAAAAAACGCCATTAAGACTGTTTTTGTGAAGTACAAGACATAATCTCCAAGCAATCAATACTTCGTCTTGGAATGAGATTTATCAAGCACATAAGAGATCTAGTTTGCTGGTGCCGTTTTAGTTGGCCATCAGGCTAATTATTGTTACTCACTTAAATCATTTCAACTGTAATAATGGTAATATTTCTCCAATGCCAACGTTCAAGGCTGTTTACCAGTGGAAGAGGATACTGGAGGAAATGCAGTGAGAAAGGTCCCTTGATGAACCTGGCCCATGGTGTTTTTTGGATAGGAGATGTTTGCCCTTGAACCGTCTGTTTGTTCCGGGGACTATAGTATGTCGATGTCTTGTAACATAAAGGGGTCATGGGATTCTTTTTATTGTATACTGCTAATGCTGTATCTTGGTGTGCTCTCCAGGAGTGTCAAGCACAACATACTGTATACGTGTAGGGAACTTGATGAAGGGAATTATTCATTACTCAGACCAAGCACCCAAATGTATATAAATCATTTTGTAAATTTGAAACCATTCAAAGAGAAGAGAATAGTGTACACGAGAAAATAACAACCCAGGTCAATGTGTAGTCATTTTAGATTTCATTGGTGCCATGCCATTCCCATATGCAATCAATCAGTTGTAGTTTATTATGAGCGGTATATAAAGTCAACCTGTTAATTTAGATCTTGTAAGACATATTTTCTGTACCTGGTATGAACTATTGTAAACAGCAATGGTATACTAAGTTGCCCATTTACTCTCATTTGTATCATTGTCCTGATGTCTTGTGTTTTCTTATGGTGTTTTCTACAAAGACTGGAGTTCATCAACATGTTTCATTGTAGAAGAAACTCTTCATCATTACCTATGGAAAAGAAACCTTTTAAGAAATATCTCATTGTACCCCTCATAAGAATCAAGACATTCAATCATGAAATTGTTACAGAATAAGTGGTTAATTAAAGAGCATGTTCATGATATTATCCAACACTTTTTGAACGATGACCTTTGAAAAGGTGTGATTATTTTGTAAACTATTGATATATGTTGTTACAATGACAGTTGCATTTTTATTTCACCAAACAGAATGTTCAATATACAGTTTCTTCAAAGAATGTGCATTCCTCTTGTTTTATATATAAATACAAATGTTGTAAATAGTCATACCAATAGCCTATGTTAGTGAGAATCCTTCTAAGACTTTCTAGTGTAATTTATTCTATTACTGAGTTACTGTTTTGCTATTTAAATGTTCATTCGGTAACAGACATTTTAAGTATCTGTGTTTGGACTGACCTACCAAGCACAGCAATCAACAAGCACAGCAATAAAAAACACTGTCTGAAAACAACCCTTTCATTGTTGATTTATCTTAATTGCTAAATCAACATTATATTTTCACTCAAGACATCTATGAGCTTTCAGACAGCCTAAATACACTGCTCAAAAAAATAAAGGGAACACTTAAACAACACAATGTAACTCCAAGTCAATCACACTTCTGTGAAATCAAACTGTCCACTTAGGAAGCAACACTGATTGACAATAAATTTCACATGCTGTTGTGCAAATGGAAAAGACAACAGGTGGAAATTATAGGCAATTAGCAAGACACCCCCAATAAAGGACTGGTTTTGCAGGTGGTGACTACAGACCACTTCTCAGTTCCTATGCTTCCTGGCTGATGTTTTGGTCACTTTTGAATGCTGGCGGTGCTTTCACTCTAGTGGTAGCATGAGACGGAGTCTACAACCCACACAAGTGGCTCAGGTAGTGCAGCTCATCCAGGATGGCACATCAATGCGAGCTGTGGCAAGAAGGTTTGCTGTGTCTGTCAGCGTAGTGTCCAGAACATGGAGGCACTACCAGGAGACAGGCCAGTACATCAGGAGACGTGGAGGAGGCCGTAGGAGGGCAACAACCCAGCAGCAGGACTGCTACCTCCGCCTTTGTGCAAGGAGGAGCAGGAGGAGCACTGCCAGAGCCCTGCAAAATGACCTCCAGCAGGCCACAAATGTGCATGTGTCTGCTCAAACGGTCAGAAACAGACTCCATGAGGGTGGTATGAGGGCCCGACGTCCACAGGTGGGGGTTGTGCTTACAGCCCAACACCGTGCAGGACGTTTGGCATTTGCCAGAGAACACCAAGATTGGCAAATTCGCCACTGGCGCCCTGTGCTCTTCACAGATGAAAGCAGGTTCACACTGAGCACATGTGACAGACGTGACAGAGTCTGGAGACGCCGTGGAGAACGTTCTGCTGCCTGCAACATCCTCCAGCATGACCGGTTTGGCGGTGGGTCAGTCATGGTGTGGGGTGGCATTTCTTTGAGGGGCCGCACAGCCCTCCATGTGCTCGCCAGAGGTAGCCTGACTGCCATTAGGTACCGAGATGAGATCCTCAGACACCTTGTGAGACCATATGCTGGTGCGGTTGGCCCTGGGTTCCTCCTAATGCAAGACAATGCTAGACCTCATGTGGCTGGAGTGTGTCAGCAGTTCCTGCAAGAGGAAGGCATTGATGCTATGGACTGGCCCGCCCGTTCCCCAGACCTGAATCCAATTGAGCACATCTGGGACATCATGTCTCGCTCCATCCACCAACGCCACGTTGCACCACAGACTGTCCAGGAGTTGGCGGATGCTTTAGTCCAGGTCTGGGAGGAGATCCCTCAGGAGACCATCCGCCACCTCATCAGGAGCATGCCCAGGCGTTGTAGGGAGGTCATACAGGCACGTGGAGGCCACACACAGTACTGAGCCTCATTTTGACTTGTTTTAAGGACATTACATCAAAATTGGATCAGCCTGTAGTGTGGTTTTCCACTTTAATTTTGAGGGTGACTCCAAATCCAGACCTCCATGGATTGATCAATTTGATTTCCATTGATAATTTTTGTGGGATTTTGTTGTCAGCACATTCAACTATGTGAAGAAAAAAGTATTTAATAAGATTATTTCATTCATTCAGATCTAGGATGTGTTATTTTAGTGTTCCCTTAATTTTTTTGAGCAGTGTATAAAAATATCAGTCCATATGTAATCGCTAGACAGCGCAATGTGCTCCTCAATGAATTGGGATGGGATTACCGTTCTCCTAGCAGCAGGATATTATGCTTGCAACACAATCGTGGATTATTTCTTTCAAAATAAGAGTCGCCATACAATAAATGTTTGCACTCTAGTGCAGCACTGCTGTTTTTCACAGCATTGCAACCACCTTTGAAAAAATTAATTGATAATTTGACGTATTATTTATACCAGTTTTTATTTTGAAAGTTTACACAAATACTGGTATGTTGAAAGCTATTGTGTAGGCTATATTGAAAGAAATACAGTTTTAATAAAATACAAATATATGTTATTGGAATTACTCAATAGAGTCTGCAAAACTTAAATGGGTATCTTGTGCTGGGCAACGGGTTTAATACAGAGTACTGGTGACTCCTTACTTCATTCGCTGCAATGTTAGCAGTACACTGTAAAGGCCTATTAACCAAGTTTTCAAAACCAATAACAGAGACAAGATCAGCAAAGGTCAGCAAAGGCATTTTCTGTAGAGTTAAAAAAATAATTTTCTCTCTGATAACTCATATTAAATGTACTCTCGCATGCCATTGTGACAAAGCTTATTCACATTGCCCTCTAATAAGACTGCATTAGAGAATAAGCACACATAAACACCACAACTACTACCGTCTGACTGTTTTCTAAAATGGGGACACCGATGAGAAAAGCATAGTTTATTATCAAATCCACCACAAATCCATGCATTGCCAGATACTGTAATGCCAGATATTTGTGAAGTGGAAGTAGTGTATCCTTTAATTCCCTTTCATACTGGTTTAAGGAATCCATAATTAAAATATTTAATGTAATGCAATTACTGCTACTAACTATGTGTTGCATTTCTATGGCTATAACTGTCCAATGTGACGTTAAGCTCACAGGCACTATCACATGCTCAAAATACCACCAATTGTGCACCGTTCCAGGCACATTTGGCATAACCTCTTTGCCGTCACAAAACAGACTATGTAATTCCTGACTCGCAAAAGACACAGGGGACATTAATACAAATTGCTCCTTCAGATGTGACTTCAAAAGATTCAGTGCCTTGCAAAAGTATTCATCCCCCTTGTCGTTTTTCCTATGTTGTTGCATTACAACCTGTAATTTAAACATATTTTTATTTGGATTTCATGTAAAGGACATACATAAAATAGTCAAAATTGGTGGAGTGAAATGAAAAAAATAACTTGTTTCAAGAAATTCAAAAAAATAAATAATGGAAAAGTGGTGCGTGCATATGTATTCACCCCCTTTGCTATGAAGGCCCCTGAATAAGATCTGGTGCAACCAAATACCTTCAGAAGTCACATAATTAGTTAAATAAAGTCCACCTGTGTGCAGTCTAAGTGTCACATGATCTGTCACATGATCTCAGTATATATACACCTGTTCTGAAAGGCCCCAGAGTCTGCAACACCACTAAGCAAGGGGCACTACCAAGCAAGCGGCACCATGAAGACCAAGTACAGATCAGGGTTGGGTTATAAAACAGTATCTGAAACTTTGAACATCCCACAGTAGCACCATTAAATCCATTATAAAAAAATGGAAAGAATATGGCACCACAACAAATCTGCCAAGAGAGGGCCGCCCACCAAAACTCACGGACCAGGCAAGGAGGGCATTAATCAGAGAGGCAACAAAGAGACCAAAGATAACCCTGAAGGAGCTGCAAAGCTCCACAGCGGAGATTGGAGTATCTGTCCATAGGACCACTTTAAGCCGTACACTCCACAGAGCTGGGCTTTACAGAAGAGTGGCCAGAAAAAGCCATTGCTTAAAGAAAGAAATAAGCAAACACGTTTGGTGTTCGCCAAAAGGCATGTGGGAGACTCCCCAAACATATGGAAGAAGGTACTCTGGTCAGATGAGACTAAAATTGAGCTTTTTGGCCATCAAGGAAAATGCTATGTTTGGTGCAAACCCAACACCTCTCATCACCCTGAGAACACAATACACGGGACAAGACCCATAATAACAAGAGCGCAATACACGGTACTCACAAGACCAACGGACATGGGACAATAATTGACAAGGACATTGGCGAACAGAGGGCACATATATACACGTACTAATCAGGGAGAATGGGAACCAGGTGTGCGTAATGAAACAAGACAGTCCGGGGTAAGTGGTAATGAACCAGGTCAGTGACGCCTAGAAGGCCGGTGACATAGTCCTCCGGAGCTGGTGAACGGAATGAGCATCAGTACCGGGGGGATCCGTGACAATAATCCTCTTTAGTAAGTGGAGATGGAAGAGTTTTGGTTGTCTTTGGAATTTGAAGTTTAGACCCAGATGAGTGATTTTTTTGTGCATTTATCAGAGCACAGATTACTTTTGATATTTCTGAAGAAAATGTAGTACTTTCTCACTGTGTTTCTTTTCGTATGATACCAGATAGAACACAGCTTGCTTCAGGAATTCTTGGACCTTCTCTAAGGTAAAGCCCACACTTGATTTTGATACTTGAGTGTAGTCGATATACCAGAGCTTGCCATGTAGTGTGTACGATTACCCAAATGGGTAATTATCTGAAAATGCTATAATACTAGATAATTCGAAGAATTGTATGTTACAGTATACTGTATGCAGGATATTTTATTTGTCAGGCCAATTGATTGACCTGATGCATCTTTTGTCACATGTCAAGGTTGGCCTTGGGCTGATTTGAATGTGTAAAGGTGTAGCTATTACCATCACCATTAAATTAATCTAGGTCGTTAACAGTTATGCCAGTCCATCATTATTTACATTTTATTTCACACTGGAAGTGTTAAAGTGTTTTGTCTTTACAACTGATATTCAACACAACAGAACATTAATGTATTGTTTTGGAATTAGTATAACATGCAGGACTAAATGCATATGTTTATAACACAGTCTCCCTCCAAAACTAACCATATATGGTTAGTAGAGACCCTACCGAGTATTTCCCACCCCACTTTAGCTGAGACAGGTAGACAAGTTTTCTCTCTACAGCCCAACATTCTCAAAATACCAGTGTCAACATAGTATTTTTTCATTAGTGTCAAAAGAATTACAAATACTTATAGCATTTTCTTGTTGGCACAATAAAAGTGGCCATTGATAAAAATTCTATATAATTTGAATTATTGTTTTGAAATGCTGGCTTTTTTTTGGAAGGTTTCCTCATTACCATACGAAAGTCACGTCATCGTTTGTGCTGCTGCAAGAATACTAGTATTGAGCCAACCCTCTGACTGATTATCGAAGACACTGCACTTTAGCAAAGATTAGATAGGCCTACATAT